GTTTTCTTTTAAATACGACAAGAAAAACCAGATAGTATTTTCTCAAAGTATTGCTGGGGAATAAAAGTATCACCGCCCGATCCAGAATTAAATTCTGCATCGAATGGTGTGGTTTTATGGGCCGGTAATACTTATGAGAAGACTTATAGTTGAATCTCTGTTTCATCGTGCTAGCTCCGTCGTGTTAGCTTCACACTGATCAACAGTTACTACATCTGACAGAAAATAACCACCGCTAAATAATGTTGTTAACATTTTGCAGGAAATCCTCAACTTTTGCTGAAAGTTCTATATATAGTTTTGTTCAGGACAAAATTCTGTATCGAATGGTATATAAAGCATGTTATTTTTTTGCTGAAAAAGTAACGATTCAAAATTCAACCACTGTACCTAAAAGATGCTCGCACGAGCAAAGCCACAATTGCCCTGATGCACAACGGACCAAGCTGAAACTTGTAGAAATGATATAGAAAAATGCGCTCTGCAGTTTGGGAAACTTTCAGACTGGACCGATGTCTTTTTCGAATTGGACCGAAATTACCCCAGAACGTCCCTCGTCCTTTATGACCTACTTGCATTTTTCACTTGTAGGTAGTGCACTAAGGTATAATGAAAGAAAAAATTCAGAAATATATAGAATAATTTGTTTTTCTCCTCAGAATTAACACTTATATCGTATTTCACATTTTAATCTCGAAGGGATTGCGGTCACAGCTTTTCTTTCTTCTATGATTTCTTTCAAGGTCAAAATTTTACCTTCAGCGCAACAATCAAAGGTAAATTGTTTTAACCACTTATCTCTTTTTTTCAATGAAAAGTTTCTTTATTTTCACCTTAGTTTGCATTCTTCGGCAATCAATGACTGTTGGCATACAGTACGGAGTACAAGGAACAATCGACCTAGGTACTATGAGTATTCATTACTGTTTGCGCTTCTATGTCAGATAAGTTTGAGACATTTTTTTAGTGCGATCTCTTTGAGTTCGGAACATAGGTAGTACATCAGAGATGCGACTAAAGTCGATTTCTACCCGACCCGAACCAAACCGAACCGAAGTCGGCTCGGTTAAAGATTTTTGAAAACTAAATCGGTTCGGTTCGGTTCGGTTCGGTTCGGTTCGGTTTGGTTAGAAGCTTTTCATACATGTCGAAGTTGAAACTTGAATTCAACTGAAACTTCAAGTTTCAAGTTTCACAGCAGTGGGCGCATCTGATTTTGATAAATACTTGAATAATTATTGAACGGAATACTTGAAGTGTAGTTGAATAGTTGAGTTCAACTTTCAACTATGAAATATATGAAATTTTTTTAGTGCGTAGATGTTATTGGTATATAAACTAACAGAAAATTTGAGCTCTATCGGCTGAATCATTCTTGAGATATAAGGTACCCAAAAACTCATTTGATGAAACTTGAACGTTGAAACTTGCATTCAACTTTCAAGTATTACATATATGACTTTTTCTAGTTATAAACGCATTTAAACGCACAAAAACGCCGAATATTGACCGTTTTCTGCTCACAACCGGGAATCACGATTGCCATCCAAACACGCCCATTTTTCTCAGATTTGATGACTTTTTTGTGTTTAAACGAGTTTTTCAAAACTTTTGTCTGCTTGGGTAGGGTGGACGGCCACCCCTCCACGATTTTCTGGTTACGCCACTACTTCCAACGATGAACACCAACCTATAACTACCATTCTTCCATCAAAGGATATTTATGTCTCTTTATTTGAAATGAATAGTACGCAGTAATTTTTAACTGCAGTAATGATTGTGTGATGGATTCGTCTGCCATATACAATCATCGCTGAGGGTAGTGCCTCTCTTTATCACTATTATCCTCCTTTCGTTGTTCTCTATATCTCTCTTTCGTGCGCACATATAAATACCCTTGTTCAATTGCTGTTCATCAGTCATTCTTGACTCAATCTTCCTCTTCTATCCTCTTTCCCCCCTCCCCCTTTTTTTTCATTGTAATCCTTCCCATAAGTATATGAAAGAATAAACCACAAGTAACTCAAAAACGTTACAGATCGGGACTAAGAATTTTTAGAACTTTTCTTAGTCCCAACAGCCCAGGTCGATCAAAGCGGACCACCGCAAACCGGCGTAACTTTACCGGAAACGGTCGTTTTGCATCGTATTCAGTCGTAAAACGGCCGTTTTAAGCCGAATTAAGGCGTTTTAACAGGGGCAGTATTACGGCCATACACGGACACCGTATATCAGTCGTAAAGCCTCGTAAATTCGGCGTAATATTATCGTATTCTATAGAACATACGACCGTATTACTGCCCCTGTTATACGGGGAAAATACGGCACGTAAAACGGGCCGTATTTGTATCGTATACGACCGTTTACTGATCGTTTTCTTCCACCGGAGAGGAGTAACCTCGCTTCTTAGTTCAGAGCCAAGAGTCTCTCTTCAATAAATATACGTTTTTTGTGATGGCAATAAGTTTAAAAAAATTGTGGCTCAATCGATTTTTAATTACCCATCGTTGTCCAATCCACAGAATGGTTTAAGTGGATAACGGGTTAATGGTGAAAAATTCTTGGCTACGCCACTCTCCACTATTATTCCTTTTCCCCACTGACTTGTTGTAAAATAATTGTTTCGAGTAGTGTTGTCACTTGCATTTCATCTCTCCACGAACATCAATTATAAAGAAAAGGAATAAAAAAAATCAGCAACAAACTTCTGCCTACTTAAAGAGAGTAAAGATGAAAAAGAAAGCGATGTTAATACATGTTGTAACACAAAAGTCAATAATATCATTTCATTTTTTTTCTTACAGTGAAGAGCAATAAAACATCATTCTACTTGTATGACTGAAACACTCGAAACACGTTTGTATAAGACCTTGAAGAAAAATCCTGATTTCGATACGGTCAAACAATTCATTTATGCCGGCGTTGATTGTAATCTATCTTATGTTGATCGGTATAGTCGCACTTTTCAATCTCCTATTCAGTTGGCTGTCAAAACTGATCGGCGTGAAACGCTTCGCCTTCTTTATAAACATCGAAATAGTCCAACAAGAATTCAACTGAAAAAACATTTAACTTTCTATATAAATCATCATGATCGATTGCAAGAGGAGAAGAATGAAATACTTTTTCATTATACAGTGAGTCGCCTTCTGTATACTCGTATAACCAAACATTCTAAAATAGTTTTTGATACTCTTATTGCTGCTCTTCATGATTATGATCATGCTAAATATCGTACACGTAATTTGAGTAAGGGATCTACGACAGAAATCTTTCTTCAATTGCGTATTTACACTCTTTTTCAAAAGATCATCGAAATGAAAATCAATTCCAATAACAATGAATCGACAATTATTGAAGAAGAACTTTTACACAATTTAGAAACATATTATTTTCTTATTAGTATTAAAAATATTCCAGTGATAATAACTAGAGAAATGATTAATGAAACATTTTCTATAATATCAATGCATAAACCACATTTGAAAAAATATTATCAATCTATTGCAGAAAATGTTATAAGTAAAATAGAAAAACTTAAAATAAATCAAGAATATACAATTCCAACTGGTTGGATTAGGCATGCTGTTTGTGTCTCATTTCAACGTATTAATGAAACGCATATCGTTATTCGAATTGATAATCTAGCTCCTGATCATCCATCAGATATGCATAAAATAGTTCATTCTACGAAGGAGTTTAATATAACTCAGCCAAAAATACTCGGCCAATTACATGTCGATCATTTAGAAATGAATTTAAATTATTTTATTTTATTAATTGATAGTGTCAAACGAGATTTAACATTCGAAGATGGTAAATCATTAATTTATAATCTTGATGGACAAATTATCAATCTCCATCAAATACAAATGCGTGTACCATGTTTTGTTGAACAAGCACGTGCCAATTGTTTTGTAAAATGTTTTCACCCTGGTTTTTGGATACGAGTTGGTGAAAAAGATCCAAAACTTTATAAGCGTTTACTGTTAGCAGAAAAAGACAATGCAAATTTATTTGCTAGTCGTTGTATTGAAGAATATCAACATAATTTCAACCATCTTTTCGATCAATTCACTACATTAGTCGAAAATGAAGATATACAAAATCCACCCTTTCCAAATAGAAAACGTCTTCAAGATAAACTTAAAATGAGCTACAAACAACATTATAAACATCTATTGAACAACAACAACATAGAACATTGTTCTCTCTTAGATGATAAATATATTCGTTTACGATTCGAAAATAATAATAAACCAATAGATTTTAAAAATCTCTTCATCAAATCACGCGTTCTAATGATTGGAGAAGCTGGATGTGGTAAGACAACAGTTTGTCAATATATAACATATTCATGGGCTATTGAAAGAAAATTATGGAGTAATCAATTCGAATGGATATTTTACATAAAAATGCGAAATTTAAATTCGAAAATCTATCCAAGTCAATCCAATAACTATTTATTAATCGATATTATTGAAAAAGAATGTTTTCAAGGTCACAAACTTGATGATTTCGAAAAGCAAACATTAGCAAATCAATTTGAAAATTCATCAAATATTCTTTGGATTCTCGATGGATTTGATGAGCGAATGATTCCAGAATATTTATATTCTGTCGAACAAGAGTTATTAACTAAATCCTATCTACTTTTAACATCTCGAACGTATGCAACATATAATTTTCCATACGATATTCAAATTCAGATTCAAAATTTTACTGAGACAGATATGGAAAATTATATATCCAAGTATTTTTCGTTTACTCTTCGAACTACTGGTCGTGAATGTTGGACATTTATTAGTTGTTGTGAACAATTAAGACAAACAGCACGTATTCCTGCGTGTCTTGAAATCATTTGCAGTTTGTGGGAAAATGATAAAGATAAATTAGAGTTTGGCATCAGCAAAGGAAAACTCTATCAGAAAATGTGTGATTATCTTTTGCGAAGATATTTGCTCAAATTTAATTATCTATGTAATTCTGCTCTAATTGGAAGAGATATTTATCAAGAACCTAATGCACTCGTTTTCGAACATTTAGAACATTTAGCATTTGAAGCAACAAAAGAACATCGATTTACGATCAATGGACATGAAATAAAGAAAATAGTAGGTCTCCAGTTTCGTTCTGTACTTCAAATTTTTTTACTTATACCCAAAACACAAGATGATTCTTCTTCATTACTTCTCGAAAATGTTTATTACTTTGTTCATCGTAGTTTTCAAGAATACCTTTGTGCTCGTTACATAATCAGAATATTGAAATCATCTTGTTCAACTGAACAAAAGAAAGAAGTAATTCAATTTATAACTCATGAAAAATATAATCGTCATATACGAGATACATTCTGTTTATTCTTCGAGTTGGAAAATTTTAATTTATGTATCGATCAATTTTGGCTAGCTGTCGAGAGTGAACCACGAGATTTGGTTGGCCTTCGACATTGTTCTCGTATTGCTCAATGGTTTCCTAAGGGAACTTGTTTATTTTCACTAGATGATCAAAGAAAAATTGATCAGAGAACGACCGATATTATACTCGCATGGATATCGAACAAAGATCGTCGAGCTCACGATTATGCAAATATATACATATTCGAATGGTTTGCTGATGTTATTGATTATCAATATTGGCTTACAGCATGGAAAGAAGATCTTTTTATGGAAAATTCATTAAAAAGACGTTATTTTCTACCGGATTTATGGCCGATAGAGAATATTAACGTTCTTAAACAAAAGTATGATAGTATTTCAACAGACGTCGAAGGATTACACCAGCTTATCACAAGAGGACCTACTATGCATAATCTCAAACGCTTAGGTCTTGACTATAATTTATTCCGTTTATATACAACTGATGATCATAGTGAAACAGCACAATTCCTAAAAAAAGCACAGGAACAAGCCAGAAGACGCGAATCGATTACTACTCTTGCAGAATTTAACAGAATTTTACAAAACTATAAGTCATTCGCTAACTTAAACCGCCGATCAGAAATACTCGGAAAAGAAACATGGCCACTGAAAATCAGTCCATCTGTGTTAGAAAACATGAATAATGAAACATTGCGGCTCTTAACAACTTCCCAAGAGAATTCACTATTTTTTCGTTATTTTGAATTGCCAATCATTCCATTTCTTATATTATATGCCAATCAAAATGATTTAAATGATGAAATACTTTGTTCACTCATTGTTTTGATTACTATCTCAAGTAATTATATACTTACAGCACCACCTAATCAAAAGAGATTGATTCGAGCTCATTACAATGAAACATTTGCTGATATAGAAATGGATGAATATCGACGAAATAGAGTCATTCATGCATTCGATCAAGCTCGTCATGAATATGGATATTCTTCTTTTTTTCCACATGATTTTGTTTGACTTTACTCACAAAAATAATAAAATAGTTTCAGAGATTTCTTTGCTCTTTGAAAGACCGATCGGTGAGTTCCGATGAACAAAACATCAACGATAAATCAATGGTGGTCTTGTCATTTTGCAACAACTTTATCCTCAAGATAGTGATAAGCTACGTACTTAGGACAGTTCAAATGTTGATTCGATTTCCTTATCGATAGTAGTCTGAGGAAACTTAATTTTTTTTGGTGTCTAACGATAAAGAAAACGATGCCCAATATTTCATTATTATTCAACTAATATCATAATTATAAAATTTCGATAAAACCTAATTCTTTCGCATGTGTAGTCCTATCAGGAGGACTGGTGAGTATTGTTTTTTTTATAAATTTTCACAGAAAAATATATAGAGAACACACGTTATTACCGTTGGAACAGTGGTGTCATACTTGAAGCGTAAATTCAATTGAAAACTTTCTCTTCTAGTTTCAAGTATCACCAAATGCGATTTCGGGTACACCATATATTAAGAACCCTTCATTCAATCAAGCTGAAATTTTCAATGAATTTATATACCAGTAATGGCTGCACATTCAATCAATTTCAGCTCCAACAATTGAATTCTTGCCACTCCATGGATCCCACCAACGTGGGCACAAACCAATTTTTTGCTTTTCTTTAGCAACTCATATCTCTGAATATCATAGCCTAGCGTCCTAACCAATCAAAAGTACGGTCTCTGCAATATTCATCAAAGTATTGATTTGAACATAAGAGCTACACATCGTTTTCGCATAAATAATTTCTATCCTTCAAAGCCCTCACGTCATAAACTCAAAAATTTTATGTGCTTGCTGCCTTCAACGCATAAAATGTTGAACATTCTTCAGTCAAAAACTTTAACAACAATCCCATATCATACAAAAAATTTTTTCCATCCGAAACAAGTTTTTTTCCTACACCAAATGCGAAATTCAACCCCCAATAACTTAGGAGAAATATGTCCAGCCGAAAGTTTCCACCTTTCCCCGCACTCCAGTTTGAGATGTAATGCATGTGTACATACGGGTGCGACCTCCATTCTCCAGCAGCGTCATATTTGAAGCTTGGATACAAATATTCAACTATACGTCAAGAATAGAAGTATTCAATTATTGAAAAGTTGAAGTTTCAAGTATTTACGTAATCAGCTATCCAGCTATTACCTTGCGCAAGTATTACCACAGCATCCGCACTTCTTCGAACCCCCCCTCGCGCTG